TCTCTCTCTGCCCCTCTCCCACTCATGCTCTGTTTCTTTCTCTCTATCAAGAATAAATACACATTTAAAAAAAAAGCAATATCAGGAAAGCTTTCCAGATTTTGCACAACTAATGTTTCTACTAAATGATCCCCCAAACCAAATTTCTCCTGTCCATTCTGGATGTAGAATTTAGTTTGGGCAAAAAGTTGGTTTTCCTTTCTTTCAAGTCTCCCTCAGCTACAATACCTAACACTTATGCGATGTTTTTCACTTGGCAAAACACATTCATGGACAGTGTCTTCTTTCAGCCACTCTGCAGAATGAGGGCTAGGAAGCATCTCTATTTTACGATTCAGAGCACCCAAACCCTCAGAACTTATTTGCTCATAATCTAGGCCAGAAGGCAGAGATGGCAGGACTCACATGTGGTCTCCTGAACTCCCAATTTTCTGTTTGGAACTCCCGATCTCCTCACCCATTGTAGAAATGTCTGAGGGACTCAAGCATCAGTGGTTGGGGCAGGTGCTGGTAAAATCATTCTTCTCAGCTGGAAACTGCCTCTTTTGCTCTGTGGAGTCAGTGCTTGGCAGTTGGTAAGAGTTTTGCTACAGCTGAAATGATCAACCTTTAAACACGCCTACTCTCCATTTACCACTAACATGCAGTTTCGATCCAGAGAATGACACCAGTCAAATTCTATTCCTTTTGAGGCAGTTCGGGAAGATAAGGCAAGCTGTACGTCATGAATGAAAACCATCCACTCTCCTACACACAGCAGCCTTCAGTTTTTCATCAGATAACTGCTGACTTATACCTTGTCTTGTAGATCTCCCTCCCATCCCATAGTGATAGGAAAAAAAACAGCTCAGAGCAAACTGTGGTCCTATTATTATTTAGAGTATTGTTTTGGTGTATCGTTTTTGGTTCTGGCCACTGAACTTTAAGAAGGAGGTTGACGAGGGGCGCCTGGCTGGCTCAGTCGGTTGAGTGTTTGACTTCGGCTCAGGTCATGATCTTACGGTTGGTGAGTCTGAGCCCCACAGTGGGCTCTGTGCTGATAGCTCAGAGCCTGGAGCCTGCTTCAGATCCTGTCTCCCTCTCTCTCTGCCCCTCCCCCACTCACACTCTGTCTCTCTGTCTCTCAAAAATAAATATTTTTTAAAAAAAGTTAAAAAATAAAAAGAAGGAGGTTGACGGTAAGGATCCAGGAGAGCCTTCTATAAGGAAAGTGAAAGCAGAGACATCTTGCCTAGAAAGGGAGGGCTAATGTGGCCTTAATTACGGAGCATCCATGTAGAAAAACTAAGCTTTTTCATGGTGGTTCCAGAGCATGGAATCAGGATGGATGAGTAGAATGAAGGGCCCCCAGAGAAGGTTCAAACAGCTCTCTCAGTCCATCCAAGCACTGGTCGTCTCTGACGGTCGAGCAGCTCAAGCGGAGGCTATATAGGGTGCTCTGGATGTGAGCCTTCCCCTTGTGACAGGTTACATCTAAGGCTGCTTCCTGTTCTGACTCTAGTCTCCTTAAGAGGTAGGAAGCTTTCATCAGTTCTATCTTTTTATAGTAGATGCTGAGGTATAGCAGAGCGAATAAATTGGCAAAGCGAGGATCAGAGCTCTGGTTCCTGAACCCACTCCTGCCTACCGTCAACAGCGCTGCCTTTAAACATCACATTTATTTTCAGTATCCGTAGAATATGTTTTTGCCAGCTACGTTCCGAGAGGAAGGACCAGATCCTCCCAGCTCATGAGGGCTTCAGAATTGTTGCCAAGGGTCGGAAAAATTCAAGTGCACACCAGACGCTGCCTCTAGATTAAATAAACAACAGGCCTTACAATGTACACAAGACACTTTTCCATTATATGTAGATAGGATTTTAATGAATACGCGTTTCTTTAAAAGTACTACCTATTTCATAGAATTTTGTCATTCTGTATGTTTTCCCATCAGCGGTTCTAAAACGTGTATGTGTGTGTCTATCGGTGTGTGTACAATTTTTTCTTCTTTACCTTTAAATATTTTTTAAGTTTATTTATCTTGAGAGAAAACGTGAGAGCGTGTGAGCAGAGAGAGAGGGAGGGGATCCCAAGCAGGGTCCGAGCTCTCAGCGCAGAGCCCACTACGGGGCTCAAACTCACAAACCGTTGGATCATAACCTGAGCTGAAACCAAGAGTCAGACACTTCACTGGCTGAGCCACCCAGGTGCCCCTCTTTTTTAACTTCAGAAGAAATCTTCCCAGTGAAGTGGCTAAGAGGATGAATTCGGGATTGGTGGGGTCAGAAGTCTGGCTTTGCCATTTTCTAGCTTGTGACTTTGGGCAAGTTATTTAACGTCTCTGAGCCTTCTCTGCAGATGGGGCGCTCCTAATAGTACTCAAAGGGATACTGTATGGATTGAATGAGATAATCCATCTAAGAGTGTAGAACAGTATTGGCATGGGGTAGAAGCTATTGAAGGTGACTTTTCTTAGTGGTTACTGCAAATACTAGCTTATTAGTACAGATGGAGTGCATGCACCTTGTTCTGGTGATGGTGATGACAGTTTCACCCCTGACCCCTAGCCCGTGGGCCATTTCTTGCCATAAAAAGGATGCTGGCATCTCCCCAGGTTACCAGCAGGTATCTGGGCTGACTCACAGTCTGGTATACTTTCTGCCAATTTAGTGACCATCCTATGTACAAGAGAAAACCTTGAGACACACAGCAAAGATCTGTTCCCTAACTCAGGATGGCTGAGTTGATGCACGAGTAAGAAGGCAGCTTCCCAGGCCAGGGCGCTCACTTATATTCAATAACACACACCTACAGCTCTCCAGGACCAAGCCGGGTCCCCAGGTGCTCTGGGACGCAGGAGATAAGGTGGGGGGGGGGAGGGGTTTGCCCCACAGACCGGTCTGGCACCTTTTCTAAGCAGGCACTCAACTGCCCTCAAGGGAGAGGCAAGAACTG